AAAAATTCTTGGAAATATTCCAGGAGGAATGACAAATCCTGAAAGAAAATGGGCCTCTGGGCAGAAAGATGAAGCTTTTCTCTTATTTCTGTCAGTATAGAAAAAGATGCTTTGTGTCATCGTTGCTTGTTTTTTTGTTTGTTCGTTTTTGTTTTTTTCCCAGACCAAATCCGTGTCTCCAGATAGTCATAGAAGTCCCAGAAAACAGGTCTGGAAGGAAACTTAAAGAGCTACTAAGCTCCTCCCTTTATCTCAGGCAAGATCAGCTACCCATGATTTTTCCGAATAAATAGCAGGTAAACGTCACCAGTAGGGGTCCATCCGTCCACATCTGCCATGTTAAAAATCACTAAAAATGTGTACTAATAGTAATGCTTCAGTATAAAGGGAAACAAAAAGTACTAAAGAACTGACAAGTTAGCACTAGTGCGAGGAAGTTCAGCAGCTGCATCTCACTACAAGCCAGCAGAAAGAAGGCGCCTGGTCTTTGCTTTGGAGGTGGATGCGCATCACTGATTGCTAAACGAAAGATGTTTAGTTAAAGTGTATCAATTGGAAGTAATTGATTTAAGTATAAATTTTAAATAAGCATTTTAAATATACTTCAGTACATTAGCACCAAACATGTTGTAAAAGCTATTGTGCAAGAAGTGTGTGTGTGTATCCTTCTCTGATATGAGACTCTCAGAAATCTGAAATGGAGAATTTTAACTTGCTGGCAGGTGTGTGAAGTGCTCGGTGCAGAATTTGGGGGGTGGGAGGGTGGTGTCAAAGCCAATATCAGAAGGAAATTTCTGCATAGATGTTTTGGGATGTACTGCATATTTCAAATGGAAATATCAGCTGGAAAGAGCTACAGCCACGAAACAGGCTGGCTTTGAATTCTGTTGGGAGGAAGGCCTCTGAAGTTCTGAATTTATTCAAGATAAAAATTAATTTTCAGCCCCTATGAGCTCAAAGCTGGTCAGTGTGAGGCCTTTACTTCAAACGTCTGTTGTGGCAATTGGAAATCTTTGTATGGCATAAGGCAATGCCACACACCGCGTGACTGGGAAACCAGCGTGTTTGCTGCTCTCTGTGTTCTCAGTGCATTCTGCTTGCCGGCATGATTATGTGGGTTGCTCATCCCTGCAAGTGAGTGGCATCAGGGAGGGCCACCAAGCACTGTTTGGGGCAGGTTAGGCTGGACGTGTCCTGCCCATGGGGTGCCGGTGCATGGAGCACTCGCTCCTCTTCCCCATCAGCCATCCTTGCTGATGGGTGGTGTTGCAGGGCTGAGGCATGCAGCCAGGCCCCAGACGAAATGCATTTATCGGTGCTTCCTCAGCAGCACCCTGGGTCACTGCTCGCAGCTCCAGCCTTGTCCCGCGGTGCAGCAGGCGGCTGTGGCACTCAGGGCCAGCCCCTGCAGTCTGTTTGCAGCAGATGCTGCGGGAAGAGGCAGCAAGCGAGACCTGTAAGGCACATGAGAGATCGCTGCATAAACACGAAGTGAATCACGGTTATGAGTAAGATAAACAGGGCAGCATGTGAACTCCGTGTTGCTTTGTATGGTGGGATGCTTTTTTTGGCTATTCCTGTGCTGGATTTCCCAGACTTTCATTCATGTTTTTTTTTTTTTTTAAACTGTAGAGTGTTTGTGTCAAAAATGCTTTGACATTGCTTTAGAATCTCCTTTAGTGAAGAAGACTAAAGTCAAAGGGATTTATTCTACTTGTATTTTGTGTATCATATGGAACCTTTACAACTCTATTTTTCCCAGTTCTGGTCCATCTGTGAATAGTAATTAAGAGGTATATTTAGATAAAAAGTAATCCCGATTTTGCGCCAGTCAGAAATGAAAATAAAATCAGTCCTATTTTTCTCTAAGCTTCTTGTGAAGTGCTGAAGAAAAAAACCCCTGTGATATGGATAAGCTGCTTTGGTACCGGTTTTACTTTACAACTGAAATACTTTGCTGAAGTTGCTATCCAGTAATTCTCACGTGCCTATATTTTTCCTATGCTTTAGATTCCATTTCAGTTTTTTGGCTTGCGTTGAGCAATATTCTTTGCACACTTGATCCAGCATGGAGTGAAACTCCTGCTCCGATCCCACTCAGCCTGAGTGCCCACACTGCCGTGGCTGGGAAGGTGCAGGGAGCCCATTAGGCACGCTGGCAGCACGGCGTGCTCCGCATGCAAACGCTGTTTCACTGGCGCTTAGCGGGAGGTGAAGGTGGGAGGATAATGCCTACTTTCAGCCTCTGGTAGGATGTATCTGTTAGTGTGCTATTAGTTTTGTTATTAACAGCAGGCTTAACCAAATGGTAGATAAGCAAGTCATTTTGCAGACAGCAAAGCGCTGTGTAAGGCATTCATCTCAGTTGCAGGCTGCAAATAATTAAATGAATGGTGCTCTTTCTCTCTTCCATCACTCCTCATGACTTGGATTTTATAGCTATCATCTTTTCCTCTCTTACAACACAAATGTCATATTTATTTCTTTACAGATCACCTTAATGAACCTCTCAGCTTACTGTGAGCTGCTAAGTAGCAGTTTTATGTGGTACTGGGTTCCCTTTGCAACCTGTTTCACTGAATATAAAAAATAATCTAAAAGCCTGTGAGTCCTGAATTTTTTGAATATTTTTTCTGTAATAGGAACTCATTTACATGGGAGTTTAATTGGTTCTTTGCAAATTGACATCAATGGCTTTAAGACAGAGTATTTATTGGAATCATTGTTTAAATCATTACTTGTTTAGACTCCCAGATTTGTAAGTAGAATTGGAGCAGCTATTCAGCATGTATTTGCTTTACCTTTAGAAATTGTAATTGTGCCCATGATTCACCAAAATGATAACAATTAAGACTTAAGAAAATCGACTCTCGGAAAGGAGAAAAAATTTTCTCAGGCTGTTCTTGCCTCTCCAAGTGCAGGATAGTTATAGCTACTACAAGTTAATTCCCATGTGTGCTTATACATGGATGAGTTTGTCCATCTGCTGGATATAAATTTTCAATATGTTCCAACAAATGTCAGCGTTGCCACGGGTACAATGTACTGCTCTGCAGCTCAAAGATGTTTTTACATCCCTCCTATTTAAAACTTTGTCTTTAACTTGCAGTCTTCCTGACTGTTGTAAAACAACTGTACACAAGTGTTCAAAACAATGTAAAACTCGTGATAGGGGACAGAAGAAAATGAACTTGTTAGTGCGTTATCAGTCAGTCTGTTAACTAACCTCAAATGGTCTCCCTTTTTCACTGTGTGTCTGTTAACAGGATCTGGGCACATGCTGAAAGAAACTAAAAAGAAAAAAAAAAAGGAGAATCACATAACGTTGTTTGGAAGTTGGTGTCCTCTGGGACTCACCTCCCTGCAGAGTTTGGAAAGCAAGGGCTGATCTGATCTCAGTAGGCTTCCATGGGTTATTGCCATAAGGCAACTGGGGAACATTCCTTATTTATACTTCTGGTCTCAAAGTCTCCCAGTATTTTCAAATCTAGAATAGGATGCTACACAGAGAAACAAGAAGCTGATTTTCCAGACTTTCATTTAAGAGAGCTTGTTATGTTCATCATTGATGTTGGTGTCAAAGGCAAAGTACCCAGGAACACGACAGAGAATGAATTAGTGAACCCTGCTGACGTCCAGCACCAAAAATATTTTTATTTTTACTTACTAAATGTCTTTTGACCTCTACAGGCAGTGGTGTCTTTAATAAACCAGTTGTCAGATGTGTGATTGATAGAAGTAGTTTATTCTAGGTCTAATTACAATTTGAAGGCTCTGGAAGTGGCCAGGCTATCCATTTATTTCTTATGAGCTCTACCTAATTCTAAATTAGAAGCTTACTTGCTGGAAACCAGGATCGTTATAGCAGCTGACATTCAGTGCTGTCTGACAATGCTCAGGTTATTTTAAGACAACAAAGGTATCTGCGTGTGATAGCTGAAGGCTGTGACACCAAAAAGAAAGCCTGAGAATAATACACAGATATCGCATTTACTTTTTTTTTTTAGTATGTGTACATGCACACATCTTTCTTATATATGGTTGTTTGTATATTTAGACATATTTTGAAAAAGGCAAACGGCTTTGGTCAAAGACACGTAACTTAGTGACAGAAATTTCCATATCCCCTTCTATGCCAAGAGGTTCCCCATCTCTGATTCTATCCTGCTGCAAGCTGTTCCCTCTGTTTTAATATTTTCCTGTTTCTATCTTCCTTTCTGATGATTTATTTCAAGTTGTGAGTAATATGAGGGCTTATTTTCAAATAGTAGTACGTTTATTCGCTAATTACAGATAATGAGTTGCAGGTTTTGCACGTGAAGGTATGGTATGATATTAGCTTGATGTTCCAGCGAAGACCACGTAGTATCTACTCAGGGTTAGAAGAAAGATGTTGAATTTATAAGGCCTGTGCTTTATCATGTGCGGGGAAAAAAAAAAGAACAAAATCTAACTTCATAGATAAACTGACTTAGGACTAATTAAACATGTACCTGTATTCTAACTGCACCTCAGACAGTGATGTGATGTTTTTTGTTTGATGTAGAGAATCCCAGAACCTATGTTTGTATCTTAAAAATAACAATAATAAAATCCTTACAAAATAATTTTATAGTAGCATCGGCCTGTGATACCGTATTGCTACTGAAGTGATATGCCCAACATTATTAATATCTTTAACACTTCTCTGACTCTAAATATTCAATGTATAGATTCTATCTTGGATGCTTCGCTTTCTGTTGCATTCTGGCCTATAAATGTTATTTCACGGTACGTAGTTAACTCTGAATGTTGTTGCTAATGATTCATGCTTTTTTATTTATAGAAGTTTAAGTGGTTGTAGCGGTAAAGTAATGAAGTAAAAGATCTAATCCATTCTAGGTTTCTGTAGGAAGTGTCCTAAATTAAAATATTTTTGCACTAAGACCTCTGTGTTTAACATTTGACTGAATAACCTACTGTCGCACTTCAACAGTTTCTTTTTCTGTTCTTCATGATAGATCTCTGAACAACAACTTTTTCACATAAATTGACAAAAGTGCAGAAGAGATGGCCAGTTCAGCGCGAGAACATCTGCTTTTTGTGCGACGTCGCAACCCACAGCTCCGGTATACTCTGAGCCCAGAGAATCTGCAGAGTTTGGCATCTCAGGGCACCATGGCTGAGAACATGAACTTGCAGCGTGCCAACAGTGACACTGATTTAGTGACCTCAGATAGCAGATCTAGTTTGACAGCCAGCATGTATGAATACACCTTGGGGCAGTCTCAGAACCTCATTATTTTCTGGGATATTAAAGAAGAAGTTGATCCGACTGACTGGATTGGACTTTATCACATAGGTAAGTCAGAACCATGTCGTAATAATTCGGTGTGTTTCCTTGCTTTTTTTGTTACTTCATCTTTCCTTTTCAGATATGCATTCTGGCATACTACATCATTAATCTAAAGATAAAATCGGGGAAAGATTGCAGAGAATTACCTTGGATTGCACTTTGCTTTTCTTAATGCAGTGAGCTATGAGAAGACATTATTAATGTAGGTCTGGTTCCATAGTGACTTACTAGAGGATGTTCCCCTTAAACAACTAATGTGCATATGATTTCCGTGTTCACTTTTGTGGGTGACTGGTTTAGAGTGGAAAATGTAGAGTACCGTATTCATCATGTAACTTGGCGTACTTACTGTCCAATATTTATACAGCTTTTTGGACAAGTAAATTCTTAATGTCCGTGAAAGGGTATTTTGTGTAATTCTTTGATTTTGTGGAAATGAAATTGTATCCGTTCTGAATGAGTGAGAATTTCTGTTTATGAAGTATTCTTATAGATGGAAATCCTCTGAATAATTTTTTTCTACTTTTTTTGTGCTGTTCAAGAGGAAAATAGAAGCATATATTTCATAGGAGGGAGCTGAAAAGAGCTCTAAGCTAGCAGGCAAGGGCCTGTGGGCAGTTTGTGCATTAGTAAGGAGTGTGGCTTAAAAGGAGTGGATCAGTAGGTCAAAGCAGTTTGTGCCAAAACCCTGACATCAGCAATATATTTGGTTCAGGTTTTTACACCGTATTATGTTTAATCAGGTCCCGCGATCCAAACATTCCTGCTGTGCATGTGGCTTGGAGCTGTCCAAAGGACAATCTTTATGATGCCACTAGGAATTGGAGTGTATTTAGTAGGTAGCTGTACACGGCACATGGGGTTTGGTCTCCTTTTCAAGGAATCCAGTTCATGTGCATTAAAATTGCTCTCTGAATTAAACCTTTGCTCAGTAACTGTGATGTTTGGGTGATCTGTTTCAAAATAGCACTGCTTTTCTGAATCTAATTGCTAATGTAGAAAGAAACTGTTGGTGTAACCTGCCAAAAGCAGGTGGAGCAGCAACTGGTGGAAACAGGTCTGACTACTGGAATTGTGTCCGTGCTGGGACCGAGCTAACTGCAGTGAAATCAGTCAATAGGATTTTGGACAGAGAATTGTTGTGCCAGCTTTTTCCAAGACATCCTGTTGCTGCATCACTTAATGTTGCATGGTGTGGAGCTGCTATTTCCCGGTCTTATTCTTTTTCTTGCTTTTTTTTTTCCCCCCCCAACTTTACTGAAGATCCACAAAATAGACAGTAGGACTTGTGCTGTTCAGTGCATAACTACTTGTAAAAACTCTACTGGAAAAGCTTCACAAGCTTCTGGAATAAACTATGGATATGTCCTAGTGTTTAAGCCACCTAAATCAATCATCTCCATAATCAAAAGGCACAGATCTTTCCAGTAGCATTAGCAGCTTGAAGTGTGGTCTGTGCTGTAAAATACACAAACCATTAAAATGAAGCTTAAAAATTCTAGTTTAATTACACTGAGAGTTTCCTCTGAAAAAGTTGAAAATTTTCAGGTATTTTTAGGTTAATCAGCTTCATAGCACTTCAAGATTGGTATTCAAGATACTGGAGTAGAGCGTACTTCTATAAAATTCTAATATTTTCTCGGTGATTTTATCCTACTTTATCATGATTAAAAATGTTTCTACCTTCTGTTTTTCAAGCCCCTAAAGCACAAAACAAAGTTAAGTTACTACAGCTTCTTATAATCCTATAAGGAATAGCCAAATAATGTCCTTATGTCTAGAAACCCCATCATGCTACTGTGTAATATCAGAGTATGATATGTGTGTCTGGTTTCCTGTTTTCTTTTTAAGTAACGAAAGGTCTCAGAACTCCTTCAGCATGTAGCTTTCTTCTCCTCTGCCACTTGAAGTCTATCAGCATAGGTGAGAGTTTCGTTACTCAGTGTAAAATAGATCTGAGCAGATTTCTTTAAGACTTGTGGTTTCCTCATTCTGAGCGATGGAATTGCACATTTTGCACAACAGAGAGAGATAAAGGCGTGTTCAGTCTGATAAACGTTCTTACCTATCTTTGACTTGTGTTTTTTTTTCCAGTAAACTTTTTGAACTAACATCTTTAAAAGTAAATAAACATGTAAATAGTGAGAAGCCTTTCATTTGCATATTTTTATATACCTTGCTAAGCTGTGGAGCTAAATATGGAGCTAAGATACAGGCTATTTGTTGTAAGGCAGTGTGCATGTATTTTAGAAGTTGTTCCTGTGGACTTTGGTTCTGAGAGTTTACCAGCTTTGCAAGCTTTCACATGGAGTTTAGGGAGAAATGAATTGGTCAGAAATACTGCTAGGGTATAATCCAGGATTTGCAGTCCCTTGTAATGATTGCTGTACCCCCAGTTCCCATTTAACACTTAGGAAAGTGCGGACACTACTTATTTTCCTAGGAGAAAGATGTTTGTGGGTGAATATATTTAAAAATAAAAGCTCTGTTCCCAAACGCAATAATAAAATTTTGAAGTATTTGGTTGAGGTTATCCATTCTGGTCTTTCTTTAAAATGGAAACAATTTCCTTTACGCAGTTCCTCTCCCATGGCACTGCCTGCTGAAAGCAGCACAGATTTTGTGCAGTCACTAACACAAGACAGCTCCAGGTCTGTGCCAGCTGTACCTCCAGTGTCCCCGCACATCTTCTAGTAAAGCACTGTTTTTTCAGGGAGCTAGGAATAGAAAAAGGCAAATATTTTGCCCTCACTAAAAACAAACAAAACAAAACCCACAACAGCTAAAGTGCACACACATACGCATACACAAAAAAACAAACAAACAACAAAACAAAACAAAATGAGCATGTTGCATAACCAAAAGCCCAGTCCAGTGGCTTTTTCTTTTATGTTGATTGTACAATTAGCTTTCATAATGAAAGCTGGATCACTGGGAAGGGCGAGTGGTTGTTAATTCTGTAAATGAACAGATGGAGAAATTCTAAAAATGAATCATCATTTCTGAGCTGAGGTTTTAGTACAGAGAGATCTGTCAAAGGTCTGGAGCAATCCAGGTAAATTTTCACTTCAAATTAATTTTGTGGAGAACATCTATTACAAACAGAATTGAAAATGACACACTGGGAAGCTGTCTTCGCTTTTCATTCATGAATGTATTCAATTAATTCTCTCATTATTTGCTCTTCAATTAACTTTCATTTTCTATCATAAGAAAGCAGTTATTTCTGTTCTTCTAAGTTTTACCGCATGGTTAAAATTGCAGTGGTTTATGAGGAATTTCACCAAACTTATTATATCCCTTTCTTTTTAAGAGACTGTACAAATCACTCTTTCAGGTACATCAGTTGGTACAGCTGATCATAAGAAAGTCAGTAACCAGTCACTGTTTTTCCTACTATGTGATATGTAGAGGTTTATGGCTAATTAGCTTACACTGGGGAATAGTAGATGGAGCTTAGAAAAAGTGTGATACAGCTCCGGCAAAATGTTGGTCCGTTAGATGTTTATGAAAATAGTTTTTTTTCTCTTTTATTTTATTTTTAGAAACAGGAAAACCTAAGGTGGCTAAGGCAGACTCATTTTATCCTCAAGAACTGATGACATTCTTTTTCAGTGCCTTTTTTTCCATACATACTGGAAGTGAAGAAAAAGGTGGGGAGGTATGAGAGAAATAAAAATATGATTGCTTGTATGCCCAGGTGGCTAGGAAGGCCAATTTCATCCTGGCATGTATCAGAAATAGTAGGGAAATAGAGACGGGAAGTGGTTGTCTCCCATTATTCGGCTCTGGTGAGGCTGCACCTCGAGTACTGTGTTCAGTTTTAGGCCCCTCACTAGAAGAAGGACATCGAGGTGCTTGAGCATGCACAGTGAAGAGCAATGACACTGGTGAAGGGACTAGAAAACAAGACACCTGAGGAGAATCTGAGGGAACTAGGGTTGTGTCGTCTGGAGAAGAGGAGGCTGAGGGGAGGCCTCATCGTCCTCTACAACTGCCTGAGAGGAGGCTGCATCGAGGGGTGTGCTGGCCTCTTTTCTCAGGTGATAGAACATGAAGAAATGGTCTTGGGTTGCACCAGGGGAGGTTTAGATTGGTTGTGAGGAAGAATTTCTTCCCAGAAAGGGTGGTTGGGCCTTGGAATGGGCTGCCCAAGGAGGTGCGTGGTGGAGTCCCCATTCCTGGAGGTGTTTGAGAGACATGTGGACATGGCACTTAGGGATGTGGTTTGGTGGTGGACTTGCAGCATTAGGTGGATCGTTGGACGGGATCATAAAGGTCTTTTCCAACCTAAAAGATTCTATTTTGTAGAAAATAATGCACGTTTTATTAGGAATTTGTTCGCTATAGTGTCATCAGGTTACTCCTCCACGGTAACTTTTGATCTTCAGTTAAATACAAGAAGTTGAACTTAACCATGAAAAATTTTATATAGCCAAACTCATGCTCAGTTTCTCTACAATTCTATATTTTAAGGAATGCTTTTAGATCCAAGTGTGAATTTGATGGTTTCTGCTTTATTACCATATGTGTATTTTCCCCCATTTTATCACCTTGCATAGCAGAAATGTGATCTGTTACCTTGTTGAGGGACTGTTGTGTACAAAGGGTCTCTTTTCCAAGTGTGTTCCTAAGGATTACCAGAAGAAAAGTGTATGCGAGGGACACGGTGTATTCTGTGGAGGAAGGTCTCTTTTTTTTTTCCTTGACTATTTCTGGTTTTGTACTGCCTCAACTCTTTAAAGTGTCAGTAACACTTCTTGAACAGTCTTGTCCTTGAAGTTTTGTTAAAGCAGCTTTTTAGCTCCACAGGCGTGATCTGTGGAGAATGTAGATAGTGCAGCTGTAGGAGCACAGAAAGGCGTCCCACTGAGACTATGTGAAAGCGGAGAAGTGTTATTTCTGAGTATAGGCTTCTCTTGGGGTAAATCAAGCAGGGTTGCATGAAACTTGAAATTGTTGAATGTAAAATACAGGTTTATCATTTTGAATTCAGTTTTAAGTTT